ACCGGAGCCCCCCCCTCCTCTCTCTCTCTCTCTCTTTCTCTCTCTCAAACGCATTTTCTCTAATGTATTCACAAATCTTCGTTCTAACGCGGCGTTATCATTCTCCCAGCAGCTTCGACCGCCTTCTCGCGTGCAGCGGCCGCGCGCGAGTATGCGAGTGTGCGACTGGCGCACAAACGGGTGCTCGCTCCCGTTTTTCCGCCCCTCGTTCGAGGGGTGGAATTCATTTCACGGCCCAACGCCCTCGGTCTCCCACGAATGGCACCGTTCGATTGCTTCGATTATCCTTACCTTATTTCTCGAAGCTCATCCCTTCAGTCGTTCTCCAACCACTCTCGGCGCACAGAGTCTCCTCCTTTCCTTCGATCCTGATTCTCCATTCTCGTGACATCGAAAAGCGTCTCTATATGTCGCGACGACGCGTCTTGCAGCCCCCTCGTCGTCCCTCCGTCCCTTCCCGCCGCCGTCGTGGAAATTCATCACCGCAGGTATACATAGAAATCCCAGATGGATCCCACCTACGTCAGAATAGTAGTTGGAGCACTTTTGAAATCCAGGAAAGGAAAGAAAAAGATCGAGTTTCGCGAAAATTAAAGGCAGTCTGTGAAAAAAATCAACAATAGCGTCAAACTATTCTCCACTTCAACCGCAAATTTAAATTATTCTAAAGCAATCATCTATAATTATGAATTATACAACTAAATTGAAAAATTCTACAGATTTAGTGTTTTGTGAAATAAATTTTTCTCATGGATCTTCAAATCTCTTCCCTTTAAAGAAATATTTAGATATAAATATAATCATTGTGCAAGGATAATTAGCCAGAATGAATTAAAGTAAAAATAGCTTAATTAAGGACAATAATGCTTAAATATAATTAAGCATCCATCTCAGCCACACTCAATGTCACAATCGAAGTAATTATAATGTAACGTTCTGCCGCGGAACAAACTATAACAATGCCAAGAACCGCTCGTTTGCATTATAATTTCAGCCTCGGAACTCATTCGACTTTTCATAAAACTTTACGTCTCTGGTTACGTACATCGCTCGGGCACGAAAACGTATTCGTAATCGACTCCTCGCCGGTACATGCAGGATATTTCGAGGGTGAAGATAGGAATATTCCAACAGAACATCGGGAGGGGGGGGGGAAAGCAAGCGAACGAAGGATGGAGAGAGAGAGAGAGAGAGAGGAGGGTTGAATTCGCATCGTCATTCCGGAATATGAGATTTTCAGAAGCGCCGTCGATGGTTAGGCGGAAGAGAGGATAAGGCAGGACACGGGGTCGCGAGCCTGCGGGGGTGGAATTTCAGGAGTGGATAAAGCGGACGATCGCGCGCGGGCCGAGCTCTTCCGTATGTAAGCCGCATAAGTGAACGAGTGGCGCACGTGTGTGTGTGTGTGTGTGTATGCGACACATTACGTGTGTATAACAAGAGAGAGGGAGAGAGAGAGAGACGGCGGAGAGGACATTATTGGATTCTGAGCATTCCCGGAGTTATTAAAATTCGAAGCCAGCCGCGAGGCACACGGTGGCGCGGGGCTCGCGGGAGAGAGCGGAAGGATCCGTACGCAGGACGAAAAGCCAGTCCGTCGTGAAAGAGGGGTAAGACGCTTCCACGGGAATATTAAACTCTCGATACGGGCTGCCCCGTCTTTCAAGAAGAGCCCTCCGTTACCTCGGGCATAACAGTTTCTCCCGTGCAGCCGGCTAACCACGAAGAAGAGAATAAGAAATGGGGAGATTGCGTCTCGGAGACGAGACACTTAACAGGATGGAAAGTTAGCTGGGGTTTTAGTCAAGATGAATACTCGCAATTCCCGCGAACATGTTTTTTGCTGCGAGCTTCTCTCGAACTTGTCAACATGTGATTCACGCCCGGGCAAAATTAATATGCACACCGTCTGCAAATTTTTGCCAATTGAAAATGTGACGATTAAAACGATTCGCGGTAGGAAAAAATGAAATACTTTGCCTTACTTTTGTTTGCTGCTTAGTTTATTTCCAACAAACGGTATTTAGCATAAAAAAACTAAAAACTAACATGCCGTTTAAAATATTTTCAATTAAGAGTTTTTTGCAACGAAAAATCTTTGCTACACATATATTATATAGCAAATATAACGGAATATTTAAAATTAAATCACACTAAAAATATATTAATTTTGTTAATGAATATTAACTTTTTCATTTGCTGTCAATCAAATTTTGACTCAACGATACTAAGATAAGAATAATGGTTACACAAAATTTATTAACTACGTTACGTAAAGCTGAATTATCACATAGCTCTGCGAAAGTCAATATCATATCAATTTGCTGGTTGTTATTAAGATATAACTATCGCAAATCGATGAGACATTAATTTATTAAGACCTTGCGAGCTAAATCTGGCGATGTCCAACGTCCAATTCGCTGTGACCCCGTGCGACCATTTTCCTTTCGCTTTTAACGTAAACGGACTATTATCGAGGAGAAGTAATCGATCATCCGAGCCAATAACAAATGTCCCCGTGGAAAGTAGCTCTCTCGACGTCGCGACAAACACAAAAGACGCGAGCGGCGAATTTTCAAGAGGGTCTGCCGCAGGGACGGGGCCAGGATTCACCTTCGCGAGGGCCGATGCGAACGAGGGTGGAGCTGGCGTGGATTTCACCTACGATCGCATGTGAGCAAATATAGAGATCCTCAACGTAATCTGCGTAATCGCCGGATGACGTCGTTCATCGATCATGTCGCGACAATAAACCTAATATGATTTAGCGCGCGGAGCGATGTGGCCAGAGACGAGAGTTGACCGTGCTCGGATTGTGATCGCCCATCACAGCAATTCCATTATTTCGAAAACACATTGTACACGTGTGCCATTGTGCGGCAGATGATCGTCGCCGATTGCCATTTATATGCGCTGTTTATCCGTATTTGCGTAGGATCCGTTAGTCATCATAGTATCGGCCTTCGTGACAATGCAGTTTAATCACACGTATGTATGAGCTGTTCGGAATAATTATTCTCATTCGATTACGTGGCCGATCGCGTGCACGTTGATATATTAAACGTTGAGAGGCGTAATGCGTATAAATACGATAAATTAACTAAACGCATATAATTATTCCTGTCAATTTGTACGATATTCACGACGTTCGCAACATGCTAGATTCTTCTCGAAAGTACAGAAAATTCATTCTAACACGATTCCTCCCGCAGCCTTTCAATAAGCATTTATATAATTTTCGAAATATATCTCCGTTAAACTAATTTTTTCTTTAAAAAAAAAAATCATGCCGTGTGCAAATAAATTTCACTGCACAAAGTATACGTGCAAATAAAACCACCGGGATTACGAACCGCGAGCGGGAAAAACGGACGAACCCTCGCGCGCAGGCACGTTTGATTTTTGAGCTGGCATTGCTGCCTGTCGGTCCGGAAGAAAAGCCTTTAGAGAGTTTTTCCGCCTGGCAGGATCGACCGAATATTCTTCGTTGTCGAGCGAGAGAGGGCGGACCTATCCAATCCGCTCTTTCATTTTCGTGATTGCTGTTTTAAATAATTGCATCTCTCTATACTACTCCCTCATCGAGCGGTTTTTGCAATATATTTCATACCTTCGCTAGTCTGCGCCATTCATTTTCTTTATGAGCCGCGATTGTTGATTACGGAACTTGGAATGGCTTCGAATAATTTTTAATTAGATGCATCCGGTAAGGAAAATTCGCTAGCAAACGCTTTCGAAATGCCAACAATTAATCACGATTGTGAGATTGATAGTTCGATACTCTCGATAAGCAAGCATTAAAATTTATTATCACGGTGGAGAAAATCCGTCAAATAATGACAAATATCTTTGACTTCTCGCTTATTATGTATTAATGTTAACTTTTTCACACGATTTTTTATTTATTTTTGTTACTATTTAATTTTGGGAATTACAGCTGTTCTAAAATTAAAAAAAAACGCATAAAAAACGTCCTGAAAAACATTTTTCGCAATAATTCAGTAACGCTGTGAATTGAGCTGAGAAGCAAGATTCTCACGAAAGGTTTTCTAGGTCAGTGTGCGTGCCGAAATCTGCCATTGGACATTTTTTAACAAGCTACTGTAGGGAGAGAATATCAGATTTCTGTAAAGCCAGGCCTCTCTCTCTCTCTTTCTTTCTTTCTTTCTGTACCTCTCGACCGGTCTTCCCTTCAACTAAATTTCCCCACGAACTTCGGTCACCACGCCGACCCCCGTGAACGATCGATCGTCTTGGTAACGTTGCCCTTCATTGTTTCCGACACCCCAGTGACGGCAACAGAGAAAAAATTTACATCGTCGTGCGTTTTCGACGCAGCACCCTCTTAAACTCAGGGTAAACGCGGGGCGCTGTGATAATACGAGACGAGGCGAAGAGGATGAAATCTCATCAAGCGGCAGCAGCCGAACGCCGAAAGGGTCGTTAGCCGCCTTAAGAAATTATCTCGAGGTGTTACATGATGGATAATGGTGGAAAACTTGCCTACAGCGCTCTTCTAATTGAGCCACTGACGGAATAATGTGAATCCATCAGAATATAATTTTGTTCATAATTGTCTTTCGTAATTGCATAATATATAATTTTAAATTGCACCTTTTCGGAACAAATATCTCAATTAATAAATATGTAAAATTAATAAAATGATGTCAGATCACGCTTCTAAAACACTTCTCGTACGTCTTCCTATTTCTTATAACGCTGGAAATATGACTCTGATTCAAAACTGGGTCCTCGATTAGGACAAAGGAGGGCAAAGTCGGTAGAAGAGGTATGCGAAGTCACACACAGTGGCGGCTGTCGTGCGAGGCGGCCCTTACGAATCGAAATCGCTCGATGAAGGCGAGACGCGGGAAACAACGAGCAAGAGGAATGAAAGAGGTAGGAAAAGAGACGAACGATGTTCTTGGCAGGGATAGGTTGTGGCAGGGAATCAGGAAGAAGGAGGAAGGGAGACGGAGAAGCGCCCCCGAGCACAAGTGCTAAGCCCCGATGCCGAGAGCGCCCAGGCTAAGCCCGAAGGCAGAGAAAGAAAGGTTTTATCTGCTCGCAGTTATTTATCGCTTTCCGTTGTAGCGGTGGCGTCGGGGCACAACCAATCAGAAGTCAGTATCCCCGGGTACCAGTCCGCGCCATCCGCATACATTATCGTGCGGAGCCTCGGCCATTGTCTTTCCACCGTTGTAAATCACATTTTATTCCCTCGCTTACGGTTTCGTTTTATTTATTTGTCGGAGAAACGTATCGCTACCGTACTCGTGGCCAACGCGCGCTCACACACACACACGCGCGCGCACACCCCCGTACTTGTGCGCGTACACATATAAAGTATATAAAGATAGACGCGAGCGCGAGCGCGCTTGTGTAGGTGGGCATACGTGCAAAATCGAGAGACACGTATTTTACAACGTGTATGCGAGAACGCAGACGAACACGAGCAAAGAGAGAGAGAGAGAGAGAGAGCAGCGCGCTCCAACTTGGCTTCGCCTCTTAACCGCAG